TAACAAATGAATACAGTTTAAGTTCTAAACGGAAGAGTTTATTAGCCTTGGGTTAAGGTTCTAACTACTCTTGGAGGTAGCGGATTGCGATCTGCTACACTCGAAATGGTTCTTGTGACGAACATAAGGTCGGTGACCTAAATCAAGCTTCCTCTGAGCGCAAAGCTACGGCGCCCCGATGCACCCCTTGTAAGAAAGCGTTTTCAATAAGAACGAGCTGGGCGGGAAAGAGGTCGCAGATGTTTTTACAGCCTGATCAGGCGGTAAAATGGGTCAAAGCTCTTAAACACACGTCACAGAAAGCAAAATTTTGCGAACTCTGTTCAAAAGTTACATTCTCACTGCCACGATGATTTTCTGATACAATGTTGCACAGTTGTACGAAATTCTCATCCTAGTTTCTGATTTAAGAAGTATTACAGGACAATCCTTCGTGTCCATCGCATCAAACTGCGACGTCAGAAGCACATACTTTGCGATTAAAGAAGCCCACTTTTTGTTCTTAATCAAAATTTTGAGAGTAATAATCACTATGCAGTTTTAGTATTCAGTGACCTATTTTGTTTGACGTATGCACTGTTTAGACAGTATGCATAATTTACAGTACTTATTTATAGATATACTGATTTTTTTATTTTAAAACGGAATCAAATCCCAAACCCTATTATTATTTCGAAATGGCGGTATCCAATTGATCGCCGCATTCTTCGATTCATGCGCTTCATAACCTGTTCAAACGAACGCAATAGTACTGCATTACATCAAGTCTCCGCGCACAAGAGCATGAGTTCTTTAGCAAGTGTCAAATACTCACCGTCTTGCTTTCAATCGCGACGTGTCGAGAACGATCTTGCGCTATCACATCGCAAACAATACAAAATCGAAGTCAACATTTCAGTTTTGTGAAATGTCATCGAAGACCGATCAATCAAAATGTGCCTAGCCCCGTTGTACGCGACTATGCTGCGGTGTTTGCTCAATACAGCAAATTTAGACAACACATGTAAAGTACTGTTGCTATTATTAAGTGTCAAATGACGATGCCGTAAATTCCTTCTGTGGCGTTGACGACAATCAAGGAGAAACTAATGCGCGTATCTTCATCAGATACTTATAAAGTTGATGCGAATTAAATGCAAAGCCACAAGCTGACAGCAATTAAGACTGAAAGTAAACCTTTCCCACCGGCAGCATTGATTAAGGCTGAGTTTTCGAAGCTAGCGCACTGAGCATTGCCAAGATCGAAAGGCGCCAATCGGAGTTTTTATCACTTGGCAAAGCGCTCAGTGATGCCTTTTCCGTCCAGTGATCGATGAATTTGACGTCGTTAGTGACGAAGACTTGATAAATTCTTTGCCACACGTCTTTCGCAGGGCGATATTTCTACGACTATTGGAAAAATGCTGTCAAACGAATCGATCTATGGATATGACCACTGTGATTATTTGTTTGGGTAATTGGGCTGTTGCTAAATGGGATGGGTAAGGCGCTTAGGCGCCATTCTGATTCATAAGCACAAGTCGATACTCTGATGATAAATATTGACGAAACGTTGGGTTATCATAGATCAAGACTGCGAAATTCGATGGGTTCCGGAGACGCTCGACGAAACGTAAGAACGAGTGGCTTAGGCGCAAACTTCATGACCTGACACATCTTTTCGAACCCCAAACGAAAAACGTCGTTATGGTTAATCGTCAACAGCTGGTCCCCTACTGAAACTTTGTTTTTTTTCGCATTGCGGCCCACAACGCCAGACTCGTTCATTTCCATGACAACTGGGTATGCTTTTCCCGTTTCAGGTTTCAAGCTTATTCCAAGTGGACCATCCTCTTCTCTCCAGATGACGTAGCTTAGTGACCGCTCCAAACGCTCACGATTTTTCTGTCGATCTGTGTGATTTCGGACTGATAACCGACGAGGTCTTTTTATACTGTTCTGCAGCTCATAGGATGATGGCCTGCGAAAGCGTAGCCTGGCTGGCCGCACGCCGCTTTCCAAAATCTGCATCACTGCGTCAAACGGCACCAAGGTCGCTCTTGTACTGCGTTGGTTGATCGAGATGAGAAAATCGCCTTCGCGAAGATTCCACATTCCGGGCAAAGAGTCGTTGCCGTCAGCTACTTCAACGCATGGATATTCCGTAATTTTGCAGGGCGTAAAAATTACTGAGCCAAGACTCGAGCCATACCAGAGCAGAACTTCGTACTGCAGATGTTCCTTGTCAGCCTTCTCAGATATAAAGGGCAAGTCGAACGAGGACACCGTAGATGCCGTATGCCGTACCAAAGTGTCGGTGAAGTGCCGCGCTTTGAGATGATTTCGAAAAAAACATTGAATTTTGCTGACTGCCTCCTCTTCGGCGAGCGCATGGGCCAGCCACGTATTAAACGAAGGCGGCGCAGGTACCACGGTCCTGAGCATTTTTCCTTGTGGCTGATGTTCCGACAACTTCATGGACTTGGTCAAAAAGCAATGTTAGAGTTTGAGCTCGCGCTCTTTAAAGCGTCGACACCAATAATAAATCAGAGGTAAACAACGATACAATAGCACTGGTATTATGGCAAAAGTCGCACCAGACTGTGGGATAGATGCGGGTCCACGAGTGGCAGATCTCGAATTGAGTATTGCGAAACCACGTGTATTTCTCACGACAAGGAGTCATATGCAGATAGAACATATGCTCTAATATAATAGAGATACGGCCACAGTCTAAAGTAGCATACCTTCTTCATAAATGCATTGATAGAATTGACCGGTAAAAGACGTATTAACATGTGGCAGGTCGTTATCCAATATTTGACAATTGAGGGTGCGTGTATAACTTCAGAACAAAAAATGATGGAGCTCATAGTATTTTACTGTTTTGTCTCAAGATGTCAAGAAGCATCCTCTGAGTTGCGGCATTGTTTGCCAAATCATAACTAGTTTTGAGGCTGAACGAGCAAACGCACATGATTGATGAGTATAGACATACCCATCTTATGCAATTGCAAAAATCTTATCCAAATCTAAGGAGATCCATCAGAAAAAATTGCCTTGGCTGGACCATCGAGAAGGTAGGACAAAGGTGATTTATATTATACACAATAAATATCAAAAAAATTATCTGCTATACATTTTGCACAGCATGCGACTACTTGTGTCTCAAGCAAAGTGCCGAATATGGGCTCAAAATCTGATCTCCATCTGAGACCATGTTACACTCTCGCTACAATAGACCCTATAGAGGTCGTAGCTACGATACGCTTCATTCTCATTAAGAGGATGCGAAAATTCCGTGTACTATGTCAACACACTCAAGCCATGTCATTTCAATGCAATTTTAAGAAAAATTGTCGCAGCATGCCTCCATAAATGAGCTACCAATTCTTTTAAGCTCTGAACTTCTTGATGTCTTTTAAGCCTACGATTTAATTGTGCACCCATGCAATAGACCCAAAGAAGTGCTAATAAGAATACAAGCTGTTCGCAATCAGAGATAACAAGATTTGAGCAAAATAAAATCCTTTGCTTTCTGATTCACACAACGCCCATCAATGCGTGAACAAGCGTCTTTATGTACACGATGCAAGGCAAAACACACATCCCGTGACACAATTTACTGTTGAAAAATAAATCGTAATTTCTTAACGCAGCGATGAAGCCAACCGTGGTTTGGATCGCGGATAGCACACTAAGCTGAATGCATTTTTAAATCATGCGCCAGTAGTGTGCACGCTAAAAGGTTACGTACTTCAAATTTCTAAAAATCTTTTGGCGCTGTAAAATGGGCCAGGTCCCGCTATACATGTTGTGTGGATCACATACTTTGTTTGTCTGTACACTCTGTATAGTGGTATATTCCCTTTGAGTTTTGCTGAACGCACCAATCATGTTAGGGATGTTGAAGGCGTATTGGCTACGATATTAGAAATCACTTCACCTCTCCTCATCTTCACGTAAGTCAAGTGCCGGCTGGAAGCGAGGCGAGGCGCGTCAGTTGACCGAAGCTGTCCCCAGTAAGTGTGTGTACTCGGAAGGGCATTTCCCGCTACACTTGGTAACACTAGAAGTCATTCTAACACCGACTATTTCGATGGATTTATCGATGGATGATGGGACACCACAGGTGTTGAGGGTCCTCGGATCAACAGGGAGGAACATTTGTTCCTAACACACTTGCGGTGGGAGTGCGCAGTGAAGATGCAAACCTTAATCGTAGCTTACGCAGCTCCAATTGGATCGAGAGGCAATCAGTCAACGCATAGCTTATTTTGCTGCGTATGAGCAAGGATTATTTCAATTTCTATCGCAGAACCTCCAGACGCCAGTCCCGTCACCTCTTCCACAAGTGATGGCGATACCGGTACACACGAAAAGTTCTGTGAAATTCAAGGTGAAACGTTTCCACGGGAATGAAGATGAAAATTTTGCCTTCTGGCAGCGAGAAATGGACATTGTTATCGCGATGGAAAAAAAAATTGTGGTGACCGTAACTAAGTGGCCTTTGCCATGTCGCATCTGAATGGCCGTTCGAAGGTTTGGGCGATGACATGGGAAGTCAACCGCCCTGGCATTTTGCCAAATGGCAAGAGTGAAAATGGCCATGAAATCGATGTTCCTTCCACCAAAGGTTGTGTTTCGATAACAGTTGAAGTTTTTGTCTTGCGTCAAGACGATGGCGCATCGTACGACTATGTACAGAAGCTCCGTGAGCTTCGTGTCAGTATGGCAAGTGAAACAATGCCGGAGGCAGTGACGGTCACTGTGTTTATATAGGGACTCACTTGTGGCACTTCTAGGACTGAAGTCTTCTGCCAGAGTCTGACAACTCTGGAAGATGCAATTATGATTGCATTGCGTGACGACTACTGTCAGCGTCAAGTGTGGCCAAGCGGTCAGCCCGTTGGAAACAGTGAATGCTGCTACTGAAAATTCGGAGCCAGTGGATCTTAGCGTGATGACTGTTCATAAACAGCAAATTCGCTGTTACGGATGTGAAGAATTCGGTCACATCCGCCGTGATTGTCCACGTGAGAGACGAACCTTTCAATACTGTTGTCGTCGTGATGGTTCCGAGTCACGTCGTATCAATACCACAAGGCATTCGGGATACGCCGGAGCCCAGTAGACGCAGGGCATTTTGCAGTTATGAGCTCCCGTATTTGTGGTGGTAGTAGAACCACTCACGAGGGTTTAGCCCACTGAGGATCGTTGTCCTTCGTTAACGACAAGTCGGAGTGGTCTCCTCGTGGTTGCAGCGAGTGTGAAGGATGTCGGTCGTCCATGATTGACTCCGGCGCGTCGCGTGACCACGCGCGAGAGCAAAGCGTTGCTGGAAATAATTTAGTGCTTTCGGATGCACTAGACAGAAGCAATGGCTTTTAAGGTGAAGCTGGTCAATAATGCGGTGGTTACCGCGAAGAATATTATGGTTGACTTCAGTTGAAGTTCAAAGATTTCCATTTTAAGGAAGTGTCTACAGTCCTTGAGATGAAAAAACGCTTCGATCAGATTTTAGATACACCGTAGCTTGCGAATCATAAGCCATGGATCGATTGGTGAGCGAAAACGATTGGGGTGGCTTTGTCGAAGGTAAAAATCTTGAGAGTTATGAGCCCACGTTCACTACGAACCAAGAAGCGCTCAAGCACTCGGCAGACGTATGTTGAAATGACCCACACTTCAATGGTATATGTCATGCAATTGACATTCCCCAGGTTAGGAAAGATTAGGAGTCGTATGGAGTAGCCACGCGTGGTCACTCAGGAAGTGTGTAAATAGATCAAGTAGTGCTCGGAACTGGCAACTTGAAACCAATGAATCATTGATGAGCATGGCAATTTGCCCATCAAAAAGAATGTATAAGGGAGAGATGCCGGTTGTTGCCCCCTCAAGACACAAGAATGTTGTCGACATGTGTGGAATGGAATGTCGAAGGAACCGACTGTACTTGGATATGCTAATACTCCTACTAATACAGTGGATGAGTCGGATTGTGGGTCAGCGGGTACAACTGACCATAAAGGTGGTGCTCCCACGCGTTGTTTTGTTGAGCACACATGCGAAGAAATCAGCAAAATTTGTTGATCGCGGTACTGGTACTCCCCCTGTGGATGCTTTGAGTCGCGGGTGAGCTTGTCCAGCGTACTCCTCCCATGATGATA